AAACAGAATGCAATGTGTTACAGACAAGCCAGAATGTAAGAAATGCGCAAAGGCTCTGCAAGAGCTGGAGAACATTGACGACGAGGCTGACCAACTCGGGATCGGTTTCGTGAAGATCCACGACGAGGAACTAGCCGAGGAGTACAATCTTGGAGACCTGCCAAGACTGGTGTACTACAGGCATCAGATACCTATTATCTATGAAGGTTTGTGACTCATATTTTACGTTTGCTGACGTTTGTATCACGGAAACGGATGATGGTGATGACGATGGCTACTGGTTCATGTCTAATCTCAGCACTTTCTTTTCTATATAATTGGAATCAGAAATGGCAAGAGTTAGGTATAAGTTGGATAGTAACTGTCTGAAATTGGCACTAGTAAATAACGGATAATAGCTTTAAGACTTGGAATAATATCAGCAAGTCTGTTCCTAAACATTTGCGTAACGAATTAACGTACATTAATAGAATTCAGAAATACTTTTGCTTACGATAACTCAGTTTTATTTATTTTCAAATGTGGTATCGCACTTTTTGGTTTAAATATTTTGGGAAATAAATTCAGTCCAACTTTCGTATGTATTTCAGGTGAGCTGAGCAGAGAAGAGGATGTACTGGAATGGTTGATCGCTAACAAATCTACCGGCGACGAAGAGGATATCATTGAAGATGTTACAGCGAAGACTTTGAATACCTTAATCGGGAATGTTGACAACCTTGTCGTACTGTTCTGTAAGTAGTCTATTACTAATGCTATCGTGTTAGATACTCTGAAAAGGATGTCAAACGGTTTAAGGAAAAGTTATTAACATTTTCTATAATATTTCGTTTCCCTCACTTCCAGACGACCACGGCGACGAAGAGTCGATGACAGTTCTGGGAGAGCTTGAGAAGATTGACGATGACTGTGACCGCCACGGTATTCAATTCGTCAAGATTGATGATATTAAAGCAGCTAAAGACTTTGGTATCGATGACCTACCATCCATCGTCTACTTCGAGAAGCAAATCCCCAATGTTTACGACGGTAAGATATATGAAGGTTATCGTACTGTTATAGTTTGAAGGTTATATGTAGAATTTTAGCTCAAGTTGACGTTTATTTTATTCACACTAGGTGACCTTGAGAATGAAGAAGAAATCTTGGAGTGGCTCGTCGACCAGCTCGAGAAGGACGAGATTGAAGATGTTACCGATGAAATGTTGGACCGACTTATCAAAGATGGAAAGACTGTCGCCGTGTTGTTTTGTGAGTATATTTCTTGGCAATAACTCGAACCATAAAACTCCCTTGAGCTCGGTCACTGAAGGCCATGTTTTAATGCTCTGTTACAGATGATAATAACGACCGTAAATCACAGAAAGTACTTAACGAACTGGAGAATATTGATGATGAATGTGACCAACTTGGCATTGCGTTTGTGAAAATTGATAATGATGAAGAAGCTCAAGAATATGGTATTGAAAAAGTCCCTACGCTGCTTTACTTCGAAAAGGGAATACCAACTTACTATGAAGGCAACTTAGAAGAAGAAGAAAAGGTTCTAGATTGGCTCAAACACCAGACTGAGAGTGACGAGATTGAAGACATCACCGATGAGATGCTGGATCTGATCATCGACAAAATGCAATACGTCGCTGTTCTGTTCTGTAAGTACTTTTTTAACTTCTACTCATACGGCCTTAACATTGGTTGTGTCGCTTGAAACAATGCCAGATTTTTATATTACCACACATCTAAAAATAGGGAATTTCATAATTCAGTTGAGAACACTATCAAGAACTGACATATAAATGAAATACAGTCCTTCGAATTTATTACAGACGACAAGGACCAAAAGAAAAGTCAAAAGATTTTGGGTGAGCTTGAGAACATCGACGATGAGTGTGATCAGAATGACATCGCCTTCGTCAAGATCGATGATGATAAGGAAGCCAAAGAGTATGGTATTGAGACTATTCCTACGATGGTGTTCTTCGAGAGAGGTATCCCTCACGTGTATGAAGGTGACCTGATGAAGGAAGAGGAGCTGCTGGGATGGTTGCTCCATCAGAAACGTCACAGCGAGATTCCTGAGGTCACCGATGAAATGATGGACAAACTTATTGTCAGTACACCCTACTTGGCTGTGATCTTCTGTAAGTATAACATTAAAAGTGTTTAAAAGTAAAACAGTTATACATTTCAGAATTTAATGTTTGTTTCTTATACATAATGGTTCTGACGTAAATCTATAAAACATCGAAGAGTGGGTGCTCGACTAAAACCAGCAATGAAAAACAAAATAACATTGTGATGACTTTATAATGTTCTACAATGATTATAAACCTAAAATTTGATAGTCTACCTACATTGTTACTCAAGATCATAACACTTTTGAAATAATATCGTTTAAAACAGTCATATATCCCGCACCGGATTTCACCAGTTATGTTTAGGTATCTTCGTAATAAGGCGGTGAGCCTAATACAAACGAGGGCTAACATTCAGGTATATTCATAAAATCCAATAAAACTTTATATACCCACAATCACTCGACCAACTAAACAGACAAAATAACACTACTGAATCCCAATATAAATAAAATTTCAGATGACAGAGAAGACAAACAAGACATCAGGATTCTTAACGAGCTTGAGAACATTGACGATGAACTAGAAAAGGAAGGCATAGTCATTGTAAGAATGGACAATGAAAATGAGGCCAAACAGTACGGTATTGACCATCTACCAACACTTGTGTACTTTGAAGAGAACATCCCAGCAATATACGAAGGAGATCTAATGAATGAAGATGAAGTACTCGAGTGGCTGATCGAGCAGAAGAACAGTGCTACCATCGAAGAAGTTACCGATGAGATCTTAACTGATCTTATTGAGGAGCACGAATACGTGGTGGTGTACTTCAGTAAGTATTTTGTATAATAACATACTTTTGGTTTTAAAATGGAACTCTTGCTTGGAAATTTTTGCTACAACAAAAGTATAGTTGAAGAAAAAGAAAAGTTGTCGTTATAATATCTTTGTGTACTGTTAAAAACTAAGACCTAATTTTATCGAGTTCTGAGCCAATATTAACACTGACACTTAAAAAATCTAAATACAAAATCCTCATCTTCCAGGTGGTAACTGCGAGGAGGGCGAAGAATGTGACAACATCCTGGATGAGTTGGAGAACATTGATGACGAGTTGGACGAGACAGGAATCATCTTCGTCACCACTGAAGACATCAGCCTCGCCAAGAAATACGGCATCAAGACCTTCCCTACACTTGTGTTCTTCAGGAACAAAGATCCTCTTGTTTACAAGGGTCAGTATAATTTCATAATTTTGTTGATTTTCTGAATATTTTGGTTTACATAATTCGTTAAAGGGCTTTTCGGGTCTCCACATAATGAGCACCACAACCCAAATTCTCCCTTTTTTTAAGCTACCGATGTATGATTAGGCCTTGTTCCGATGCTCCCCCATTAGTATCTGTCTTTTGCATCGTAGAATTGCCGGAGATCTGTTAGGGCCTCTTATTTGAAAGCAAGACTTTGACGTTGATGTTTATGTACCTTGATTCCTATAGAAAAATATATAGAAAAATACAATATCTAGATTTAAACTTTCTTGCCTAATGTAAATATGAAACCTTATGTTTTTGTAATTATAGGCGACATCGAGGATGAAGATGAGGTACTGGCCTGGTTGACCGATGAAGACACCCTGGAGATTCCTGGCAAAATCGAAGAGGTTAACTCTAGGATGCTGGAGAAGATCTTAGAGGAGAACGACCACGTTGTTGTGTTCTTCTGTAAGTATAACTTTAACATTGAATATTTTTAAGGTAAATTATCTTCCTTAAAGTCTTTAGACAATTTTTTTTTATAGATTTGGTTAAACTATGTTCATCGCTAAAGCATTCCAAGCAGCGTTTTTAAAAACTAAATAATAAAATTTCAACTGAAATGGATTAACTCCCGGTTTTCACTAGTGATTAACTGATAAAATATGATATTTTCTCAGACAAAGAAGGCGATAAGAAGTCTCAAAAGATCCTGAGCGAGCTTGAAAACATTGATGATGAATGTGAAGAAAAAGACATCGATTTCGTCAAGACTTCCGACGACGGCATTGACAAGGAGTACGATCTTTCCGAATTACCAGCTCTTGCTTTCTACAGACACAAGTTCAGGACTATTTACGAGGGTGACCTGATGCATGAAGAAGCTATCCTCAAATGGGTGCTGGAACTCCACGATTCCCAGCCTGACGTCATCGAGAACGTAGACAGGAAAACCTTGAAAGACCTCATCAACGACGTCGAACATCTAGCCGTGTTTTTCTGTAAGTATATTTTGAAAATAGATTTCTTTGGTAGAAAAAATGCTAGTTTCCATTTAGTTATCAAAATTAAATGTTAAAATATTTATAAATACAGTAAATCATTTCAATTTATTTTCTGGTTTGGCTCTTGTCCAAGAGTTTAGTCTACTATTAGTGTAGACTGCAAACAACCTTATAAGTTTGTTTCCTTTAAGACTCTTGGAATATTTTTTGATTTACTTCTTTGGCTTACAGACAGTGAAGACTGTGACACATGTGACGATATCCTTGAGGAGTTGGAGACAATAGACGACGACACAGACAAGCACGGCATTCAGTTCGTTAAGTCCAAGGATTCGAAGCTCGCGTCAGATATTGGTATATTCAGCTTCCCAGCACTTGTCTACTACGAAACAGGTGTTCCTATCATGTACGACGGTAAGTGACCTCTCCTATATGTTAATGAACCTAATAATCTATGTAAATATCTCCTTGATATTATTTCTATCAGCTCTGGCGACTATTCTAGTGCTGATAATGAAACTGTGTATGTAAATACAGAAGGTTCAATGTATAAAATCTAACAATTTTTCCTGTTTATAGGTGATTTAAAGAACGAAAATAAGGTTCTGCAGTGGCTTGTAGATCAAAAAAGTAAGAATCCACATCCATATAATAAACGTTTCTAATGTTATATCTGTTTAAGGTCGAGGGATTTTGTTTAATGTTAAATTATTATGAATTCAATCAATATTACGTGCATGACATCATTCTTGATATATCTCTATGAAACAAGTGTTACTTTACGCCTAAAATGCTGGATGTTTGAGCTATGTCATTTTGCATGACAGTTACTAATGCCTGCAGGTGAAGATAGCCACCGACATAATAAAGCTAATATTAAATCGAAGGCCAATGCAGATGGTGATAAAAAATCATCGGGGTTCAGAAAAGGTGATAATGTAGATGCATTAAAGAGGAACACCCCGAAAAATGTGAAATCTGCTGAATGGAAAACTATGGGTTCGCTGAAAATAATTCCAGGAACTGTCGATAAGAAAGGTCGGCAGAAAAGCAAAGTGAGTTCCAAGGAGGATGAAGAAGATGACGATGATGGTGACGTTGACGATGATGATGATGACGATGATGATGATGAAGACGACGATGACGAGAATGATGATGACGATCCCGATGACGACGACGATGATGATGATGATGATGACGATGAAAAAGACAATGCAAAATTAGCGGCTATCAAAAACATTCTAAAATTTAAAAATCCAAATGAGGACGCCACTTGGAAGAAAGTCGGTAAACTCAATATTCGTTATCCTGGCAACAATCCTGGCAAAAAATCGGTGAAGACTAAAAATGACGATGACGATGACAATGACGACGATGATGACAATGACGATGATGACGACGACGACGATGATGATGACGACGACGACGATGATGACGATGATGAGGATGATGATGATGATGATGACGATGATGACGATGAGGATGATGACGATGAAGATGATGACGACGATGATGACGATGATGACGACGACGATGATGACGACGAAGAAGAGGAAGATAAAAAAATTTCTAGGCATCATTCTAAAATAGGTAAATTCAGTCGTCAAAAGCAAGTTGCCGACGATGATGATGATGATGATGATGACGACGACGATGATGATGAGGATGATGATAGCGATGAAGATAGTATATTCGGTAGAATAAGACGAATGTTTACAGGTAATTGAGTAGCGTTGGCCCCGGGACCCCCGCATCACATCTGCATGGTCGACGGCCCGCATGGGACCCTCTCTCTAGCTATCGCCTGCAGTCATTCGCGACCGCTTAATGACCAATAAATGTTTTCAAATCTTATACTTACTAACATTATCATTAGAAATAGCGCTTAACTGTTGGCGCAAAGTTTACAAACATGCACAGTATTAACGCAGTTAACCGTTTATTGTAATTACCGTATATACGGGTTGTAAACGAGATTTTTACTGACTGCAGGCGATCGCTGTTTCTACATTGGATTGGGGGCGAAACCGGCCGTCCCAAAAATGACTTACGAACCCTACCAGTGCTGTCCCACTAAAGTTCAGAGTCCAACCAAAGTAGCGAAGGCCACGCCGACCAAGGTGCCGAAGAAAATCGAGAAGCAGCCACAGAAACCCGAAAAGGAGGTCAAGGGCAAAAACAAGGCTCTTGCTAAACCAGACAAACCGTCCAAGGGGAAAAAAGGTTTAATCGAGTCTGATAATAATATTTGGTGGTGGTAAATTTAAATTAATGTTAGAAGTTCTTGCTCTGATATCCTCGGATATGGGGGCAAGGCAGGCATCAAGTGGACACAATGTTATCGTCGCTGGCCCTAGCCTCCACCCAGCTCACTAGACCTCCATGGCTAACGTTGCATCTGTCTGTACCGGCTATTAACATTGCTAGCTTTGCATAACCTCGTGTCCCTTGATCCCTGCAAGCACGTAACAGGGTTGATTGTTGTAACCGTTGCACAAGGACTGTACTCGCACGTCTGTCGTGTCTCTCGTGATACTGTACTAGTACTATGACTCGTATACCTGCCGCCGAGCCGTCGCGGCGTCGGTGCGAATACAGCCCACACTGATACATCCTACAAAATGTGCTTTACTGTAAATTCAAGATCATGTGCCCACTAAATATTGGGATGTCTAGAGATATTGTAAGCAGGTGTACAAATCGTTATTTTCATTGTAAATTGATTCCAATATTTAGAAATTAAAATGTAAATCGAGACGTAACAATAACGACGCAAGGCATTTCTCATTGTATTTTGCCGTGACATCTTGAAAGACTTATAATAAGTTGTAAGGATTTCATGTTCATATAGTTTTCTAGTCTTCATGGAATCTCATTATTTTGTAATACTACATTTGATAAAATATTACTTTTATAATTTATAGACATAAAAACTTATAGTTCTTAATATTTTGTACCAACATTAAACTAATGAATTATTTGATTAATAATTTTCATAAGCGCAGTGCCGGATATCAGTGCAATAAATCAATTCATTAAATCATTGTTCAGTAAGCAATAGGTATCGGACTGCGTTGGACGATGTCTATGACCAGCCAGCCGTTAGGCAACGACTATATATTTGTAAACTTAGTTTCCATTGAAGACTAATGTTGCGGTTAGAGTCGTCTAAAGCTTTCCGGTCGAACAGTGCTGGCGTTGTGTGACTATTAAGTCGATATGTAAGTTGTATTGTTTGGCCGAAAATTCGCATGAATGTTAATTTATTTATTTGTTACGTTGAATTGTTGAGTCGGCGCTGAAACAACTTTTTTTGTTAAATAAATACATTTTTCTAATAAATCAAAACCGTCATACTCATTTCACACACGAATGATGTCAGCATGGTATTGCCGTAGTTGTATCCGCGCATGCCAATTATTGGATTTTACTGGTGAGTTTCCCAAACTATGAAATGGATGTGGTTTCTTTATAGTATTTTATTAGTTCATAGGGTTTTCAGCGTGAAGTAAAATGTAAAACTATTTTAGGGGACCTTTTGGACGAATCTGAGGTGTTGGATTGGATGGTTAAACAAAAGGAAGATGAAAGTATAGAGGAAATTGACAGAGACCAACTATTCAAATATATCGAAACTAAAGAATTCCTGGCTGTCGTATTCTGTAAGTATAATAACTAGCAAATCTAAAATCGATCACTTAGTATGAACAATTGTGACAGAGAAATGTTTACAGATAAAGAAGAAGACCCAGATAGTCCAAAAGTACTGAGGCACGTGGAGCTAATAGACGATGAAGCAGCTGAATACGGAATCAAAATAGTAAAATGTAGCGACCGGTTGATGGCGAAAAAATATGGGTTCCGTAATCCGCCAGGTATAACTTACTTCAGGAAAACAAAGGCAATCAACTACGACGGCGACATTGACGACGAAGAAGAAATACTTGACTGGTTGACGAATCCTGAGAACATGGAACTGACAGACCATATCGAAAAAGTCAACAGGAAAATGTTTCAGAAGATCAGACAGACTTCAGATTACGTAGCGGTATTCTTTTGTGAGTTTTCTTTTAATTTGCTATTTGTTGAGTTATTTATGTTATGATAAGAATTTCTGATGATATCCTTTCAAAACTGATACTTACAAATCCAATTGTATTGCACATAACACATGTTTTAGACAGTAATGACTGCAAACAGTGTCCTAAAGTGCTAGCAGAAATTGAGCACATTGATGACGATGCTGATGATTCTGGTATCAACTTCGTGAAGATTGATGATAGACAGATGGCCAAGGAATTTGGAGTTTTCGCTTTGCCTGCTGTCTTGTTCTTCAAGATGGGTTCAAAAGATCCTGTTATTTATGCTGGTAGACTTTTTGTTATAAACTTGTTGATGCTTTAAATAATCATTTTACTGCGAAGTGTGTATTTGATGGTCATTTTCTTGTAGGAGATTTATATGATGAACAACAACTATTAAGTTGGTTGTTAACTCAGAAGAATCCAGCAGGTGACGTTATAGAAGCCCTCGAAGGACAAGACCTTCTAGACTTAATCGAAGAGTCCGGATCACTAGCAGTTTACTTTTGTAAGTTGCATGCTTGTGAGGGAATTACACAATTCTATACTGCACAAACATTACACTCACACAGCTAATTTTATACGCTGATATTTACACTCTAATATATTTATTTAAACAAGAAAATATATGAAAATGTACAGAATTGATGACAAGAAGGTCTTTTTTGCATTAACCATAAAAATATACGTGTATCTGTTATTAATTTATCTTGCTTTTTATTAGGGAACAAAACGTTGTGTGAAATGTGCTCTTCGAAATTGATGAAAAGGTCATCGAAAAAGAAAGTTGTAGAACACGAGGAGGATGAGGGACTGGATTCAGAGGGTACTTCTATCCCTTTACTGCCGTGCCTCGAGTACCGGCGACATGATCCCTTGCAATCGCAATTTGTTTAATGATCCATTTCTATGTAGCCATTACTTTTGTTGCATGTGGCATGAAAGCACTCTTAGTATAGGTACTTAAGGTCTTTGTTATGATTCTTTAGATTAGTCCCTGTTTCCACACCCACTTGTGTCGAGTCTGGTCTGCAAAGTGTCCGTCCACGTTCGCAACTAAATTGATATCCACGAAATGCATAACGAATGATATTTTTGTTTTGGTTTTTGTAGCAGCACAAATTAAAATATCCATGGTAGTCACAATAGTACTGAAACAGTTTGTCCATCCAATGGGATTTGCTCACAAAATAGTATAACACTTTAATTGGCAATAGATCGCGATTTTACAGATAGCATGGACTGCGAACAATGCGCTGGAATATTGGAAGAGTTAGAGAATATCGATGATGATTGCGATAGACATGAAATCAAATTCGTTAAGACTCAAGACTATTCTATAGCAGAATCTTATGGAGTAACAGATTTCCCAGTTCTGGTATACTTTGAAAATAATGTACCGAATGTGTACGAGGGATCTCTGGCTGAAGAAGAGGAAGTACTACAGTGGTTGATTACGCAGAAAACAGAAGATCGTATCGAACTTATTACTCGAGTTATGTTAGAAAACATGGTTGAAGAAACGCAGTATTTAGCTGTATATTTCTGTAAGTATAATAGACATGGGATAGGTTTCAGAATGGAAATTTGTTACAACCGCTATAAAATATTTTTTTCTTATTTTAGACAAATTGAACTGCCATATCTGCGACCATATTCTTGAAGGACTTGAGAGTATAGACGATGAGTGTGATGTCTACGGTATACATATGGTCAAGATTCAAGATCCGCAACTCGCAAAGAGATATTCAATCAAAACTTTCCCAGCAATGGTTTACTTCAGGTAATATTGCTTGTTAAGACAATCTTATACTTGTTGAAACGAAGAATGAAATGAATTTAACTTAAAAGCTAAAAAAAATACATTTCTTCTAGGAACGGCAACCCTCTTCTATTCGAAGGTGATTTGCAAAATGAAGAGTCCATTTTAGAATGGCTTATTGACGATGACAACAGAGAGTTAGCTGATGAAATTGAGTCTGTCAATGAAAGAATGTTAGAGAGATTACTTTATGAGTCACATCTTTTGGTCGTCTTCTTCTGTAAGTATAAGAAACAATAAAAACTGTAGAGTATGTTACTCTATACTGTACTGTAGATTACTGATCTTATAATAATTTATCTTTCAGATGACGACGAAGACTGTGCAGAATGTGAAGAAATTCTCGAATCTTTAGAACAAATTGATGGAGAAGTTGACCAATTTGGTATTGATTTCGTCAAAATCGCCAGCCAAGAAGCAGCTGCAACGTACAACATTGTTAACATACCTTCTCTAGTATACTTCCGTAAGCAAATACCGATGTTGTATGATGGAGACCTCCATCAAGTGGACAGGATCTTACAATGGTTGACATCTCAGGACGTCTTTGAAATCAAAAACGAAATTGAGGAAGTAAATCGTAAGATGTTGGACAAATTGTTAGAGGAGAACGAATTCTTGGCTGTATACTTCTGTAAGTAGTATAGGAGGCTTTAATGAAATCACATTGTTTCTAAAAACAACTGGAATTAACTGCTTCCTTGTTTTAGACGAAAAATCAGCTGAAAGTCGTGCTGTTTTGGACAAATTGGAAAATATTGACAGCGAAACTGATAACTTGGACATTACTTTCGTGAAGATGCAAGATCCACGATACGCTCGCAAGTGGGGAGTTACCAAGTTGCCGGCTATTGTGTACTTCAGGAAGAGATTCCCTAGTATATACAGAGGTAAGAAACCTTCCGTTTAAACGTCTTTATTTTGTTAATGTAGAATCTTAATGTTTTTTTTTATATTGCAGGAGACCTCATGTCTGAAGACGAAGTACTGGAGTGGCTCCGAAAGAACAGGTTCCGGCAGCCTGAACTAAATATCTTCATGTACGCTTTGATAGCGCTGTCAATAGCGTTTGTAATGTACACGGCCTTCCTACTGCAGTGCTTCAAGCCTGCCCCGCCCGCGCCCGCGCCGCATCCGAAGCAGGCGTGAGCCCACAGACTTTTAGTCTTCTTCATAGATTGTGACTTATCGGCCTCACGGCTTAGACTATACCGACTTCGACACATGATCAGTTAGTCCTTGACGATCCACCGATGCAAACTTTCTTCAGACATGGACTAAGGATCAACTTATACGTTTACGTTCTTGGGATCAAAGTTTTATAGAGATTTTTAGTGAACGACGAAAACACTGGATTGAAATAAACAAGTTTTTATAACTCTAATCTAGGATCGGTTTGATGGTGACCTTCATTTCTTGTTCAATGGCATTTTGAAGTACGATCGTTTCGTTAAGACTGTATTCTCGGTAGAAATCTGAATGGAAATATAGTGTGACATGTACCGTTTTCCATAATCCAATCCGTGTTTATGATACAGTGATTTTTTTCACCGATTATGTCTTCTTGTTACTTAATGTCTATAGCCTTATAGGTTTCGTTGAGCCTTTGTTAAGTTTGTGTTTGAGTTTTTTGAGCTCTCGAACAATGTTACTTATCAATAGAAATCAATTGTACTTTAATTGGAACATAAGATGTATAAGACGTAATCGTTATGTCCAATATGCTTATTTTTTGGAAATATTCCGATAGTTTCTTGTCGTGTGTTTCGTGCCGTCTCTTGAGTTAAGTTTTTGTAGCTTTTTGTTTTGTCAGTGATTTTGTTTTAGAGCTCATTTTTTTCGAGTGACTGTCCAATGGGCGGGAGCTGGACTGACGCCCGCATGGTACTACGATACTTCTTTATGGTCTAGTTCTTTGTTAATTACATTATATTCTTGTGCCAAACTAGTTTCTTCGATGTTAGATTATCGTATTATTGTTATGAAAACGTTGATGATTGTGTAGTTTACCTCCAAACCCTATGAGAGTTAATTCTTCTAGCGAATCATTATCAGATCTTTCTATATCCTTTCTATCCCTTATTTCATAAGTAATCAAAGACACTTCTTGCTTTACTTCTTCCATCTATGAATTACCTTCCAAATAAACATTTACGTCTCTAATATTTAATTTATCGACAACAACTGCATCGTCATCAATGTTACAAGTAACGTAGTAACATGCCCGATAAACTGTATCATTCCCGCTCGTATTGTATATTATTGTGTATAATTATAATGATACCTTCAACCATGAAACGTAAGGGAGGCATGTTGGCTATAAACGCACAAATGTGAGGACGGACGAAGGAGGTATTGCGAAGGAAAAATCATGAAGATCGTACTTCAATAGAGAAGATTGAACAAGGACAGATATAGCTGGAGGTGTATGAGAGAAAGAGAAGGTTGATATCCGAGTAAGTATATGACTTATCTGAAATATAAGGAGATGGGATCCTCATGACCTTGAGTATTCTACAATGCACGTTATCTGCGATTCGTACCACGTTTGTGCGTAAATAGCCGAGTAAACAAAATATGCTCAAATGAGTCGTGCGCTAAGACATGCGCATTCGTTAATGTTAACGCTGTATATAAAATGTAAATAAAATATAAAATAAAATAAAAATAGTAAAATTACATCGTTTTCTTTTTATCCCATACTTGATCCTGGACGTGAGTAAAATAAAAATTTTGAACGCTAAAATATATTTTATTTATCTTTACCCTTTTTGTAACAAACTTACAACTAATTAATAATAATTATTATAATATCAATCAGTCTATGATTCAAAGGCATTAGTAATTTTACTAAAGTATATAGGTTACTGATTTGCTTTAGGTATAAATTGCAAGACATTAAATAAAATTAATTAACATAGTAAATTCAATGACGAAGCTTATGATATAGTAGAAGATATGACAGAAGTAGGCACCTACTGGCGACCCTATGAAATTGATTTAAAGCAAGAGGTTACTGAAGTAACCATTAAACTCATAGAAGAATTTATTTTTTACTCTGCTTTTTACTCAACACATTTAAACATGGAAATATGAGTTTTGAACAAATAGAAAAAGTACTCAACAGTATATCGAGTTATCTTTAGTTACCACCCATTTTCAAACCGTAATAACTGTCTAACATGGCGGACCAATGACCGTAACTGGCGTAATTTATTGAGCCAATCACATTTGTGAAAAATAATTAGGTTATTTTTTCTGTCTCTTGTACTTCTAAATGGGAAATTGTACATGTTGGAATTAAATAAAAATAAAACAGATTGCCTATGTGATAACTAGCCTCGCTTCCTCGTGATACTTCAGGTATTTCACCTTCTCCGTTTCAAAGAGAGTCTGGAGTCGCTGTGTGAACTCTGCATGCACGGCGTCTATCTCTTCGTTTGTAGGTTCCAAGTTCCTTTTCACTTCCATTGGAGCACCAACTGGAATATCAACACGAAGACAATTAGAATGGGTAGACACTAGAGATCAAACAGCATAATACCTGCCCA